CATTCAAACTATATTTAAAATGATGTATCACGCAGTTTGTCGCAACCGACAGTTGAAGATGCTGGCTGTTTGTTTGAGATGCACGGTTCCTTGATGCTTCTGATATGAGTGTTTATTACCAAGCAAGGATGTTCAGTGAAGTCGGCTCCAATGGATGCTTGCCGTTTATAGCAAGGGTGGTAAAATCTTCGCTTCTAGATTCTTCATAGATGGCCGTAAATACTCTTCATCGTGTGGCAAGTCCCAGATAATTATTGCCGGTACCCACAGGCAGGAGCTTAATTTGAGGGATGAGTTTCAGAACTGGGCTTAATATTACCAGCAGCCATCTGACACGCCATGGAAGCCATGGAAAAGGAGCCGCCCCGTTTATTACTAACTGTCATTAGTGGTGCCAGGGACAGATGCTCTTCTTGACTCAGAGGCCCGGCAGCCGTGGGAAGCGCGGTCCTCTGTGCCACGTAATTCAGGTACGATGGAGGCTAAGATGGATGGGGAGACTGTGTGAGGGCACTGGGCGGGTAATGTAGGTCTAATATCAACCGGTGGCAGGCTCTGAGCTCAGGGAGCAGGAATTGGGGCAGGTGATTAGGGGCCTATCGCTGTGAAGGTGTCCGATGGAGGTGGCAGCTACCATCTCGGGAAATTGATGTGCACATGACTGCCTGTGCTTGTCAAGCACCTGCTGGAGGATTGGCGGAGGGATGCCGGTACATTGTGATTATTACTACTCCCACGGGAACGCACAACGTCACCACCTAATCGCAGGCTAGCAGCTCTCTGGGCGCTGGCAGACGCCGCTCCGTCGCCACCTTCACCCCTGAATGGCTGAATGGGGCCACTCCCTAGCGCGCTGCAGCAGTGCGCTCTCTATTCGCTTTAGCCTGGCGCCACCGGTGGCCTCCCCGAATCTCAGACCTTATCAGCCACCACGTCGTTCGTGCCAAAACACGAGTGTCTTGCAACTCGCATACGCCTCTTTTCCTTGCTGCACCCTACCAACGCTTCATCATCGAATTCACTCGAGCCCCGTCGCGTTGCAACCCACACTCTCTCAACCTTCACTCTCTCCATTGGGGCAGCTTTTCTCCTTCGTTTCCACTTCCCCTCTTCTTTTGCTTCTTCACAAGGCCTTCGTTTTTAGTTTACTCTAATCCCTTGCCTCCGTCGCAAGGGCACTTTCGAGACCCAGCCCCTTAATCTTTCAACCTAGTAGTCGACATCGGACCGGGGCAAAAATTCCAGCCCAGCTGGAGCAAGACAGTTGACCACCACCACTCCTTTAAACGCTTCGATCGTCGCGCCTGTCATTACATGCTTGGTGGAATTTCCTAAGACAATTACGACCATCTCCGACAGCCTCGTTCTGTTCCTTCCTCTCACCCGAATAGTCGAGTTTGCGCTGTTGCCGTCGTCGGTTGCATTTGGTCTATTTTCCTTTGTTTGGGATTCCTCTAGCACACTCGTTGATTGCTTCTTCGAGGCCTCAAGGCTCCCGCTACATTGGGCTTACTCTATTCGACATCATACATTCTTCCTTCGTTACCGTCTAGGTCCTGTGGCCTAGCGATTCACTGCCATCATGTCGAACGGGTGAGTACTCCCGGACCTCTCGCAGCTTCTATCTGGCCTCAATTATTGACAATCTTGCTTCACAGGTTTGGCCTAGCCCTGCGCTCCTTCTGGCATACTATGACCAGTTATGACCGACGTGCGATCCCCCCCCTTTCTCCGTCGGTGGCAACACTCAACTAACGCACTTGGTATCTACAGACTCAACACTAGATTCTCCACATCGGTCCGGCCGTCACGTCCCTCTCACCAATGGCCGAAACAGCGTGTTTACTGGCGTAGCAACCGCCTCCGACTCCCGCGGCGACATCAACTCCCCCTATTTCGATGACGCCTCACCTACCCGGAAGCAAATGCGCCCCCCGAACATTGTTCCTTACAATCCCGCCTCAAGCCCTAACCCCGGTTCTTACTCGCCTGGCTTGCGATCTGTTTCTGCTAGAAATACTAGCCAGACTGATGGATTCGAGGTTCAGAGCCCTGGCGATGTGCCCATGCAGTCATTCGAAGACGGCCTCCCCCCTCCACCCCCGGTTTCCCACTCCTGGAAGCGCATAGATGCCTGGGCAGAAGACAACTATCCAGAGCTGTTCGACCAGGTCTGCGAAGGTGCAACTGTCAATGATATGAATGAGCTGGAACATCAATTGGACTGTAGCCTTCCCCAGGATGTGAGGGAGTCTCTCATGATACACGATGGTCAAGAACGTGGCGGTATTCCAACGGGCATCATCTTCGGCTCCATGCTCATGGACTGTGAAGAAATTGTGCAGGAATGGGGGACCTGGTCCAGGGTCAGCAACCAAATCTTGATGGACGCACCGACACCTCCTGCTTCAAAGGCTTTCGCCGGAGGCAGCAACGAGTCCTCTTCGTCCCGGCAGCGACCATCCTCGCGGTCTAGTAACCCAGAAGAATGGCGCCAGAATCTCCTCGACAAGCAGACTTGCGTTCCCCCGAACAGTGTTCAAAGCGCGTACGCACATGCTGGATGGATCCCCTTGGTGCGAGACTGGGGTGGTAACAACCTGGCTGTCGATTTAGCCCCTGGACCCAAAGGCCGATGGGGTCAGATCATCCTTTTTGGTCGTGATTATGACACAAAGTACGTTGTGGCCAAATCATGGTCTGCATTCCTCGCCCTTGTGGCAGATGACCTGAACAGCGGGAAATGGTTTGTGGACGAAGACAACGGAGAGCTCAAGCTTCGTGAGTTCAAGGATGCACGAGTCGAGCCATCGTACTTCAGCATTTTGCGATGGAGAATGGACCAGAAGTACGGGCGTCGAGCAGCACAGCGAAAGTCCATGCAACCAAAGCCCGGGTCGAAGCCTGGATCTAAGCCCGGGTCGCCTCTGGGATCCCGATCATCTTCCCCCTACTCCGCAGAAGGCAATGGAGATAACCGAGGCCGGTCTTTGCAGCGACCTCACGGGGCCTCGCCTTTGCAAAGTCCAATGCGCGCAGCCCATGGGAAACTACCTATTCTCGGTAGGGTGACGGAGGAGTCAAGCATACCAGAATTGGCTGATGCCGAAATCGAGCCCGAGACCCTGGTTGAGGCAGAGGTAACGATGTCAAAGAAGGAGTCCAAGCAGCCTGCTGCTCTGAAAAGAGTTGAGAGCGATCTCATCAAATTAACCAAGGACAACGAATCACCGGTCGGGAATGGCAAGCAACCCCAGTCCAAGGACGAGTCGATGAAAGAAATACATATATAAGATCCGAGGATGTCCTAGAAAACGGGTGGGAAGCTTACATACACACTACGATGGCACGATATTTTCTTTTCCTTTTTACCATTAAAGGGCTATGCGACGGGGCATGGGCTCTTCATGCGCGTTTCATATACAGTAAGACCTGGCATTTGGGCGTTGTTGGCGCCTTGACATAATTATACTGAATTGCTCAGTTTCCTCCTGGGACTATAATGGAGAGAAGAAGCATGAGCGAGATTTTTCGAAGAATGGGACTGAGCATGCGGTCGATGCAACTCTATCGCCACTTTGACTGCTCTCATGGATAACAAAGGGCAGAACAGACTGGTTATTGGAGAGGGCACGGTCGTAAACATTATGCTACTTTTATCGAATTAACTCGTCGAGATGTTGATTCATTTCTGTAACAATAAAGACAAAAATATTCCTCCACCTGCCCATTGTGTTTCTTTGTGACATTAACGATTTCACCATAGTCTCTAAACTATGCTGCTGGACTGCCTTTGTTTGCCGTGGACATAAGATCTTGTTTGGCAACAAAGATGGAAAGCCAAAGGATCTACCAAGCTTGTCTGAGACGTTTCATTCTCTGACGTCGAGTCCTCGGAATTGAGAAAAAGAAAAGGACGTGCGGTGGTTCATGCAGACTACCTATGTTTGTTTCGCATTGACGATAGCTAGATCTCTCTCTACCTACCTACCTCCTTGTCTACTAGGTCCAAGATCGGGTGGGAGGTTAGCTTGTGAGGATTGATTTCCTCCCCAGGCATTGCGCTCGTCAATCTGGGTCGTTCCAAACAGGGATGTATCGGCGGTTACAACGTTACTACGCACCCCATCCGCCAAGACGATCTGGCGCCCTCTCTCTCTCCCTTGGACGCTCTTAAGGCTGGGGCGCGTCTCTCTCTCTCCACCTTAAGCTCAGCCCAGCCCCTGATCAGCAGGAGAGAAGAAAAAAACCGAACACAACCTGGCCAGCCATCCTCGCGCGTGTGAAAAAAGTGCGGTCGCGAAAATACCCACCCACACACACACCACATTGCAACCAACCGTTGGGCTGCTACCTGGGGGCCGGAGCGTGCAGACGACCTCGTTTCATGATTCTGCCGCGGGGGACCAGTCTAATGCCGGGTGTGGTGCGCTCTCTTCACCCATTCCACATCACTTTCACCGCCGGTCCCCTTCGTAACCGCTGTGGCCATGGCATGTTGGTGATGGATGGCCCCCATGTATTCGGTCCCGCCAAGGTCTTGGAACGCTGGCGGTTACTGAACCCCCTCTTCGCCCGAGGTGTAGGTTATGCAGGGTTTCCTCGGCGGGTCTTTTGGGTCTCGGGCTTCTACCGCCCCCTGACTGTGTATAGACTGTTTGTTTTTGTGTGTTCTGAAGATCTTCCTAGTTGACGATCTCGAGTCTCATCGTGATTATACTATGTAGGCGTTTTCACGTTGGCCTTGGTGCATCGTGTATCACAGTTTAGATCACATTCAGGTATCACAGGCAATGGGAACAGATAGTTGTGATCGTAAATCATATTTCTATTTAGAAAGAAAATCATAAAGTGCTGTGGAGATAGTTTATCTCATGTTTTTGAATATCATGTCCAAAAATTTTTAAATATACAGAATCCTCTTCGGTATCCCTACCGCAAACGCCATATCCCCAACCTAGCCCCCCATATCCAAACCCAGTGGCATCGCTATTGACAGCCTATGCGACCAAGGGGACCGCACGGCGGAAGGCCCTCTCGTTGGCAACCTTGACGGTGAGCTCAGAAGACTGGCCACCACTGCAGGTCATGCCGCTGGCAAGGGGCTGAACAACGGTCCAGGCGCCGCTGGCACATCGTTGGTAAGATGAGCCGCCAACACAGTTCCACTCACCCTCGCTGGTGCAAGCAGTACCGGCAGTGAAGCTACCGCTGCCGCCACCGGGAGTAGCAGTGGTGGTGGGAGCAGCAGAGGCAGAGGCAGTGGCAGTGGCGGAAGCCTTGGTGCTAGAGCCAGGGATGGGCAGGAACACACCTCCAGGGATGGAGGTGGTAGCGATAGGAGAGGAGACGGCTGAAGAGGGACCAGAGGAAGGAGCTGAGGTCTTGGTGGAAGTAGGGGCGGCAGTGGTGGGTGCAGCAGTGGTCTTGGTGGAGGAGGGAGAAGGAGATGAGCCAGGGCTGCCAATGCAGTTACCGCTGGGGGCAGCGAAAGCGTTGGTAGCACCGTTCAGCTGCTCAACCTCGTTACCAGGGTTGGGGAACTCAATGTCAGTGTTGGCAGGAGTGCTGCAGCCGTTGCCGATGTTGGCCTTGAACATGTCGGGCAGGGTGCTGAGGAATCCCTCACTACCACCGGAGCCAGTGACGGTAACGGGAGCGCAGTTCATGTACATCTCTCGGTTACCGACCTTGTTGAACCAAGTCCAAGCGAAGACGTACTGACCAGCAGCGAGGTCTTCGGGGATCTTGAAGCTGTAGGTGTATGGGTCCTCGAGGTTGGCATCGTTGCCCAGGTTGCCCTCGGTGTTCTGGGCAGGGCAACCTCCCTCGATGGACTTGATCACCTTCCAGACGGAGGCGGTGGTGGGGCTCAGGTCGGTAGTGACGGAGACCTGGCAAGAACCACCGCCGTGGACGGCGCTGCCCTTGAAGGCGAGCTTCTGAGTGCTGCCCTGGGCGTAGCTGTTGGTGGAGAAGTCGCCGCCGCTGACGGGGCCCTTGCAGGGGAAATCCGAACCGCTGGCATCAAGAGGAGAGTTGTTGGGGCTACCGAAGGGGACGGGGCTGGTCATGACCATGTGGGCGCTGGCAGAGGCAGCCAGGCCGAGGAAAGCGAGAGTCTTGGAGAGCATCTTGTCAAAAGATAGTCTTGTAAGTTGATAGGTGTTGGGTATTGTTGGGTATTTTGTGGGTTCTTTCGTTCCGGACGAGAGATAGGCAAACCAAAAGTCGAGGAGTTGTCGCGAGACCGTGCTCTTGCGTTGATATGGGGAAGTTCCCAAGTTGATGTTTGCACCGGGCAGATTGTGAGAGAATGTTGAGGTAAGATACCTAAAGGACTAGCCTTTTATACGAATGAAGGACTGAAATGGTGGACGACAAGCGTCTAGAAAGGATGGACTGTTTGGTGGTGGTGAAGAAAGAAAGACAGTCTGAATACGTGAAGGAGGCCGGGCTTCTTATACAAAAATGAGAGTCATGTTCCAGATCGTCTGGGCAGGCGTTGTGTGTGGGGAGTGCTCAGGAGAATGGGTGAATGGACTGCATCAGAACACAGACCACCAAGGCAACTAGTCCAGAAAAGAAAGGAGAATTCTAGATCGACCAACCGTGAGGCGACATCAGACACAGCTGGGCACAATGGGCAAGAGGTCAAACATGGGCCTGGATGGCACGCAGACTGGCTGATGCAGATCGGGAGAGTCCATGGGCCAGAACAGGGGTGCACACACGGACGTAGCCAGCCAGGGGCAAGCATTGAACTCGGTGCAAGCGCTTTTGATGCATGGTGGAGCTGCCAGGGCCCGTCCTCTAGTGTCGGCAGGCTCTGGGCAGGACAAAGGGAGACGTATAAACGGTACAGCCATTGATAGGCTGGAGACGTTGTTTCATGTTGGCCCTGGCATGTGCCCAAGCGCGGACAAGAGTTGGCTGCAGGTCGAGGTGGGGTCTGGAGTCTGATCGAGCGGAGAGCCAGTCCACTGGCTGTGGCTCGTCCCTGCCTAAAACGGCCCTGTTTCCCCTCTGGCGCCGCGGCAGCCATCCAGCACTCGCCAGCAGGACAGGGGCCTGCGCGATAGGTGACACGCTCCAGGTCCCCGTTTGGTGGTGTTCCCCTTTGCCGCCTCCTGGATTGAGTCTGCTGGACGCTGCAAGTAAGCAGCACAGGCGCTGTAACGCACCCCTATCCATACATTACCTACAGACCTGCCCAAACCAGCAAACCTCAGCGCTCCCTCCCCTCTGCTAGCCTGGTGCCGGGCGGCTTTTTTACGTTTCTTTGTTTTCCTTTGCTCTCCAGCTTTGAGCCGCGCGCCAGAGGGGACCCGATAGTTCTGCATTGCATACGGCGGTCAGCTGCATCATTCCATTCCGTCTGCGCAAATGACCTCGTGTTCGGTGGTTGGACAAGGAAAAAAAAGCAGTTTAGCTTAAAATTGCCATGGCTGAGCATACCTAATGCTGGAGTCCAGTACTACCGTCATGGCATTCTCCGGTAGTACATACAGGAGGCTGGGGCGAGGCACATGCTCGAGCACTGCGTCAGTGCACTAACAGCGACAAGGATCGTTGGAATCGTTGGAGGGGTCTGCCGGAGAAATTCTAACTGGTTATGTTAGGCGGCAGCAACCTCTGCTATTGAGGGGTCTTGGGCTGTCAGCCTGACAGGGATGGGGATAGGGGCCTCCGGTAGTTAAAGTCGTTGGGTGTTACAGAAAAGACACGATTCTACGCAAATGGAATGAGAGGCGAGCTGCGATGCGCCTTCCTTGCTCGGTGGCCCCCGGGAGATTCCCCAATTCAATCGGGCCGCGTAAAGCCTCTACCTTGTCTCCGTAATTCACCGTACCTCTGCTATGCATGTTGGCTTGCTTCATGCTGTGGTCAATGTTGCGGATGGGAGGTAGGACACGACCTGCAAGCAGCCGTTCACCGCAACACAACCCTCAGCCACGGGCCCCATTCCCGCTTGGATGGGCGCAATTGACAGGACAGTGTGTGTCTGTCCAACAAGGCTACTGGTGAGTTTGGCGCCCACGCGTGCTCCTGAGTTGTCCGTACCTGCAGATCGCCAGCCATGCCGTCCTCGGTGTGGCTGCAGATCACATCACCTCGCAGAGGACGAAACGATCCGTGGATACGACCCAGGACCCAGGCTTCAGCACAGGCCATCGATGTCGCCGACCCCAGGAGCCTCCCAGCCGGCCAAAGCGCATCTCAACCACTGCCACCATGCATGATCTGGTAATAGAGCTTTGGCTTCTTTTGTCAGGTCAATGTCTGTGCCGTTTAATCTAGATGGCCACGCCTCACCAATTCCGGCAAGCTGCCGAAATGCAATGTGCGCCACCGCTGGGTTGGCATAATGAAGCTAGCATCACCTGAATGGCAAACAGCATTAACAGAAAGGTGTTGCGCTCTTCCCGGTTATGACAACCGAAAACTCATGAGAGAAGGGAGGGAAATTTTTCGCTGCTTCATGTGGTTGACTCACACACATTAGACGTTGGGTCCTAGTCATGGCTTTCCAGGAACGGGCCAATCGTCTCTGTATGCGCGACACCTTTAGCCGGGTGCCTGTGGGTGGCCGAGCGGCTCGTCCGCCAGTCAGATGTGGGAGACTGGTTCAGGCTTCCGACAGCTTTCTGAGAATCTTGCATTCATGTCTTGTGATCCGGGTGAGGATCCCCCTGAAGCGCCGCCTAGGGATGCAGGGGAAGTTCAGATGGTTAGCCAGTCACGATGGACTGAGCAAAGATGACCGGTGATCGTGCTCCTCACTATCGTCCTGTAGTCTCTCACAGCCGACCAGTGAGGGGCTTCAGCTTCGTAGTCCAGAGGCCGACTGACAGGGATCGCTTTGCCAAGAGCCGAAGACCACCTTGTTGATTTTGTGGGGTGCGCGTGGAGCCGAAACATCAAACAAGACCAGGGTTTCAAAATTCCTGTTTCGGTATTTTCCCTATGTTCGTGATCCCATCTACATCTGACCCGGGTGATGCTCAGGAGGACCTTCCACATGTGATATCAGCCTAGGTGCTTTTCCGGAAGTCGCCGGTAGTTTTTGCCCACGCCTTCAAGAGATGCTGTCTCGACTCCTGGTTAGTGAACAAACCCTGCCTCATCATGCCCGATGCAATCCTTGCTTCGGCAGAACAAGATGGACTCTGTTCTCTTCTTCTTCTTCATTTAATTTCATTACTTGCTATCCCTGTAGCTCGTTGTTCATTTGCACCGGGAGGCATTTATTTCACGATTTGACGTGGCGTTGGCAGAAGAGACCAGGGACATGGTGGTAAGGATTTTCTTCAGGGCTTCCGCCATCTTGCGTAAGTGCCGCTTCATCTCCGCGATGTGCCATCATCCCATATTTGTTCGTCGCCATGGCCTCTGCCAACCTTGTAAGTTGAGCTTGGGACACTCATTGCCTCCATCCGGAAACGTCACCTCTGCTGATGTGTGCACGGTGCACCATGTTTCCAGTTGGGCAGCGGGATATACTACCGTAGGCGGCCGCGATCTGCTGTGACGCTGTTGCCGTCTCGAAATACCCGTGTGGAAGAGAATATGGCCTGTGCTGTTCATCTGTTTCATATTTCTCACCATCAGTCCATTCACGGATGGTGGAAAATCGGGCCCTGCCCTGGAGTGAAATTCCCCGTCTGACAATTCATCCGATCAGGTTGATTTGTATGCTTGCTTTTTTTACCTTTCGTGCGGGATAATATCTGTAACATGATCTGCTGCGGATTAAGTCCGACCATGCACCGCAGCGGGCTGTCTCCTTGGCTGGTGGGAGTTCTGTTTAATGTGAGATGCAGAGCTAGTGTGATATGAGCTGGCTAATGGCCGTCTATGCGTGCAACTTGTAAGCTTTTCATTGATTAGTCGCAATTCCCATGTCAATATATCCATTTCTATATTCTATGTGATTCGATACCAGAGACTCTATGGAAGTCCAAGCTACGAAAGAGTTCCACCCTGCTCCTCCTCGTCTCGTCGTTGTCCCGTTGGGTTGTATGACACTCCCCCATCACTTCGCTCTAAACCAAATCCCACGTTGCAAACAGCATGGATTGTCTCGAAATCTCACGGGCAGGGGAAGCTGGAACCTTCCTCTGCCGCCACCAGACATGCTTGCCCAACCTCAGACTCCAGAACGGCGAGTTAGGACTAGTGATCATGGCTTGGCACAAGAAGGATCCTACCTGAGAAACCCATTCACCATGCCCACATGCCCATCTTCTCCTTCCGAAAATGTTCAAAGTCCCATTCGACCTTGTCAAGGTCCTCTGCTGACAGGAAGACGTAGACGACGGCGTCCTTCTCTTCTCCCTCGACCTCCTTCCCCCCCTCGTTCTTGACAAGCTTCACCTTGACATTCACTTTCTTGTATTCCGAGCCTTCAAAATGATCGAGCTTTTGCATATTGGCATCCGTCAAGCCTGTTGCATACACACCGCGAACCGAACATCCCTCTTCTGGTACGATTCCAGGGTAGTCGGCAAACTGGACTCGATGCCTACAGTATCCATCCAGAGTAGCTGGGGTGAAGGTATGCATTGCTTGATAAGCTTGCGGCGGTTTCGACGTTCCATAACATACGGAATAGAACACCTCGGGCGCCATCTGATTCACTAAGTTTTAGTTCTGAGATTCTCAATACCGGTGCAAAGGGTTTGTATCATACCAAGGTGCCTGTCACAAGATCAGTTAACAACTACATCCCCATCAGAGCGCAGGTTGACCTACCATAAAAGAATGCTGTGAAATCCCCACTCATCTTCTCGGAATTTCAGACAAAGACCGGGGCTACTCGAAGATAGTCGACCTTACAGCTAAATTCTGTTGTGTTAGTCGAACGTGAACGACTTCGAGGCGAGCAAACACACAAGCTGTATCACATGAGTTGGGCTCAGCAACATACCATATACCCCACCGTAAGGTCTAGATTCCGCTGGAGCTATCGATGGTAGGGCCCTGGAGACCAAACTTATGCTCAATCTTGAAAACCAAGCTTATCATTCAATGGCGGACAAGCAAGAACTTGGATGCGATATCTTGGAATTTGGAAATAGGTAGGTAACCAGAAGTGGTACCAGGTATGAGTAATCAGAATTTTGATAAAGAA